CCTACCAGTATCTAAATTTTCTTGTAGACAGTGGAAGGTGAGCTGCGCTCCCATTCTGCTCAGGGGTAGGCCTTTTCTGCCTATAGCTGTTTATTTTGCTTTAAAAATTTCTTTATACATATGGCTTGGTGTTGAAATAAACTCATCAAAGAAACCTGTAAGTAACTTTTTCATTAGAAATTTTCCAATCTTGTGTTCTGTTCAGTCCTTACAAAACTTGTAATGTAGAAAATAGTGAAAGCCAAAATAATTATTTTGCCTGAGCTAGAGATTTAGGGTATTTCTCTACAGGAGCTTCCTGATCATCTATGTGAATACTTTATCACTAAACTGGAAGTATAGAGTTTATGAGAAATGAAGAACAGGATTACAGTGTCAGCTGCTTTTATTTTAATGGGAATGTGTAGTCATTTTTTCATAGGAATGGTAGAAACTTAATTGTTTTTCTGAAAGGGTGCTGCTGGTTTGCCAGGTCCTCCAGGAATTAGAGGAAAACCCGGTCCCATGGTATGTATTATCATTTGAATTTTGTATTCTTTGACACTAGTTAATATTTTTATGACTAAGAATATCTAAATGGATGAGGGCTGACTTATCTGGTGCACCTTGTCATACAATAAAAGTGATTTAATTAAAATAAGAGAATTACCATGCAATTGGGAACAGGGCTGCCAACAGAGGGGACTGGGAGGGACAAAATTCGAGGGGGGGGGGCAAGTCAGCTGGAGGGCCCTTGAAGCCAGCCTCAGGATGCATTCAGCCAAAGGTCTTTCCATTTATTTTTAAGATGCAGTTCTTGCTGAAGCTACTAGGGCACAGGGAAGCCTGCACACATTAAAAGACCATGTGCTATCAGATAGATTTCCCTTTCTCCAGGATTAATACAAACGTGACTAATAGATTATACTAAGCCCCGCCAACCAAACCAGCACTGGAGTAAGACAAGACAGCACACTGATGGCTGCTACAGTAATTGCCAGCCTGCAGCTTGCCAGCAAGGTCATTTTCTATAATAGCCTAGCCTTTCTGTCTTCTTTTCCTTGTACCCAGCTCAGCCAGACCTTACAAAGCGGTAATTACCTTTCCCCCTCTTTTCCTTGATTTCTCTCCTTTTCCACACTTTTCTCATTAATTTCTCTCCCTCCTCCTAATTTTTCCATGCCCTCATTTATTTTCAGTTCTTGGTCTCAAGTCTGTCTCATCACTCTCCTGCTTGGCAACAGAATGTACTTAATAGTAGTACAGTAACAAACCTTAGTTAATATTATGAAAAGAAGAGGGAAGTGTTAAGATTTCCCAGTGATCTAACAAAGGAGTAAAAGGATGCTTCCCCTGCTCCTCTACCCTTTGCATGCATAGTAACGGAACATTAGTCTGTTTTAGCGGTTATACATGTAGAACAGAAAGTAGAACTACCAGTTCAGGCACTGGGTTGTTATCACTATTCTTGTGTTTGTAGAAGATCTAATAGCCCTTTGTAGAGGCTATTTTGCTATATAACAAGTGATGTAATCTTTTTTAATATCATTAAAACTTAGATTTATAATAAACACCATACCCAGTCTTTCTCACCAGTGGGGACTCAAAGCTGCATTGTTTTCCTGTCCTCCATTTTACCCTTGCAATAACCCTGTGAGGTAGGTCTGTGTGAGAGTGTTTCACCCAGCAACCTTCCATGGTGGGTTGGAGATCTGAGTATTAGAGACACAATAGTGGTTTTGGATCACTTCAGCCCCCTCAGCCTAGATGAAGTTGACAAATTGCTCCTAGCTGTTCGCCCTACCTCATGCTGCCTTGATCTGTGCCTGTCATGGCTAATTAAAGCCGGTCATGATGTGTTTCGAGGCACCTTGAGGGAGATTATCAACAAGTCCCTCATTGAGGGACAGTTCCCTGGGGTGCTTAAGGAAGCAGTGGTCCGCCCACTTCTGAAAAACCCATCCCTGGATCCAGCTGAATTGGCCAACTATCGGCCGGTTTCCAATTTGCCCTATTTGGGCAAATTAATAGAGAGGGCGGTGGCAATTCAGCTACAGAGCTTTTTGGATGACGCTTCCATCTTAGATCCCTTCCAGTCCAGTTTTCACCCTGGACACAGGATGTAAACGGCGGCTGGTCCGACTCCAGACCAGAAAATCTGGACCGGGCATTACAAGCCGTGGCTAGTTGGCTTAGGCTGAGCTGGCTGAAACTGAATCCAATGAAGACGGAGGTCCTGTGTTTGAGTCGGGGCGGTTCGGGGGTGGTGATCCCACTCCCAACCTTCAATGGGGCGCCGTTGGTGCCAACACCGGAGTTTAGGAGTGCTCTTGGATGCCTCCTTAACAATGGAGGCCCAGGTAGCAGCCACTGCCAGGTTGGCCTTTTACCATCTTTGGCTGATTAGGCAGCTGGTTCCCTTCCTCGACCGCACTGACCTGGCAACAGTGATCCATGCGATGGTCACCTTGAGACTAGACTACTGTAACGCTCTCTACATGGGGCGGCTCTTGTTGCATATTCGGAAGCTACAGCTAGTGCAGAATGCTGCGGCCAGGCTCCTGATGGGTCTCCCCAGGTGGGAGCACATCCAGCCTGCTCTGAGGACACCGCACTGGCTGCCAAAAACATACCGAGTTTGCTTCAAGGTGCTGGTTCTTACTTTTAAAGCCCTATATAGCCAGGGTATGGCATACCTGAGGGACCGCCTTTCCCCATACATACCCCAGAGAGCACTACGGTTGGGGTCTCAAAACCGATTGACCCTCCCGGGCCCTAAGGATGCCAGGTTTGCTACCACCAGGGCCAGGGCTTTCTCAGTGGCAGCTCCATACTGGTGGAATGAGCTCCCGGAGGAGATCAGGGCCCTGCGGGATCTTTTACAGTCCTGCAGGGACTGCAAGATGGAGCTCTTCCACCAGGCTTTCAGCTAAGAAGCCGCCACCACTACAGAGCTCTAGAGTCCTGGCCCTTGGGTCTGACATCTAGCCCTTGTTTCAGAAAGATCATGAGCAGAAGGATTGTTAGATCTCCAGGCGCATTTTTCAAAGTACGCCATTGTAAATAATTAATTGATAATTACCAGCACTTTATAAATCTGAATTTATAACATGAACTGTTTTAGATGATTTTATGTAGATTTTAATTGTATTTATGTGTTAAATTGTGCATTGATTGATGTGAGCTGCCCTGAGCCCAGGTGGAATCTTTGTCCAGGGACCCATGGTGGTTCTCGGCAGCCCCAATTGGGAAATAATTTGTTTTCTTTCAGTTTACCAACAGTTAAGAGCCGTTCAGAATGCAATGGACTCCTCAGTTTCCCATTAGGGCATTCAAATCCAGGTTCAGATCCCCACTTGTGCCCTGGAAGTTTGCTGGGTGATCATGGTAACACACTCTCAGCCTAACAACCTCACAGGAGCCCATGTCCCTTTACAGTACGACTCCCCAGCCCAGCTACAGAGCAAGCCTCCTTCTTCCCCGAGCCCCCAGGCGGGTGCCATGGCTGCCTTACTCAGTCCTTGGCTCAGAAGGCTTGCACACAGCAGGAGCCCAGCATGCCTCTGCTGCCGTAGACCAGCACCCGGGGAGCCTCTGCCTCAGCCATACTGCTCGGTCCACCTGTCACTGCCTCCTGGGAGGGCTCAATGTGCTCCGCCTCCACCCAGGCCACAAGGCTGGCCGATCCCTTGGTGGGCAGCGATAGGCCAAAGCAGAGGGGCGAGTCAGCTGCAAGCAGAGCCCTTGGCTGGGAAGGGAAGCGTGCTCCCTCTCGCATGCAGGCAAACTTAAACCCTGCATGGAGGATGGGGATCTGGGAGCGCACAAGTCTTCGGCTGGTCACTTCAATCAAGTGTTGCTTGGGCTGCCAGCCTCCATGCTGTTCTCCCTCTTTGCTGCCTCTTCCTCCTTCTCCTCTACCTCTGCCTTGCATTGCAGGCCTAAGCCGCCACAGACCAGTGTGCAGGTAGCAGCATGGGGAGGAGAGGAGAAGAAACCCCACCTCAGTTAACAGAGAGACACTTTCAAGGCTGAGGGAAGGAAGAAGATGGCAAGAGGGGGGAGAGACACAGCCACGCTTGGCAGCCTGACTCGAGGAGGCAGTTTCCGCAGCTGGGAGAAAGAGGGTGGGCAGCAGCAGGAGAGGAGAGCAGATGAGGGAAGCGGGCCGAAAAATAAAATGAAAAATAGGTAGTCGGGGGGGGGGCGAGCTGGATAGGAAGTTGGGAGGGTGAGCCCCCAGGGGCCCCACCCTAGCTGCGGGCCTGGCTACAGCACACTGCATTGACACTTTCATTGAGTTATCTACGATGACCCCAAGATCTTTTTTCCTTTCTGTCTCAGCCAATATTTGAGTTTGGGATTTTTTGCTCCAGTATGCATCATTTTACACTTACCAACATTGAACTTCATTTGCCACATTGTTGCCCACTCACCCAATTTGTGCAGATCCCCCTAGAGCTCTTCACAGTTGCCCTTGGTTTTCACCATCCTGAATAATTTTGTGTCATCTGCCAACTTGGCCACTACAGTATTTGCCCCTAGTTCCAGATCATTTATGTACAAATTAAATAGTACAGTCCCCAGTAGTGATTCTTGTGGGACCTCACTTCTTACTTAATTGTGAGAATTGTCCATTTATTCCTACTCTTTGCTTCCTGTCATTTAACCAGTTTTTAATCCATAAGAGAACCCATCCTGTTATCTCATGACTGAAAAGTTTACTTAGGAGTCTTTGGTGAGCTACCTTGTCAAAAGCCTTTTAAAAGACCAAGTATATAAAGTCTACCAGATCACCGTTACCTACATGCTTGTTCACTTAGAACTCCAAAAGGTTGGTGAGGCAAGACTTTGCAAGAGCCATGCTGAGTTTTCCTCAGCAGGCTTCATTCTTCTATGTGCCTAATAATTCTATCTTTGATTACAGTTTCTACTAATTTGCCTGGACATACGTTAGGCTGACTGTCTTGTAATTTCCTGGTTTCCTACTGGACCCCTTTACAAAAACTGGTGTAACATTTGCTGTTTAGTGATAGGTTACATATACAGGTTAGTAGATCAACTATCTCTCGTTTCCGTTTCCTAACAACTGTAAGGGTGTATGCCATCAGGACCTGAAGACTCATTGTATTTTAATTTCCCCAGTAGGTCTAGAGCTTTAGCTCTTGTCACTTCAATTTGACTCAGTTCTTCAGACTCCCTTCCTAAAAATAGGGGCTGTGGCATGGGTATGTGCCTCACACTTCCCATGATTTATAGTGCTTCTCTGCCATCTCTACATCTTCCTTTAGCAATCCCTTTATTACCTTGTCATCCAGAGGCCCAACTGCTTCACTGGCCAGGTTCCTGCTCTGAATATATTTAAAGAAATGTTCTTTGTTTGTCTTGAAGCTTTTAGCAACCTGCTCCTCAAAATCTCTTTTTGCTTACTTAATTATTGACTTACATTTCTTTTGCCAGAGCCTGTGGTCCCTTCTGTTCAATTCCTTAGGGCAGACCTTCCACTTTTTAAAAGAAGCCTCTTTATTTTTTATAGCTTCCTTGACTCGCATTGTTAACCACGTAGGCAGTCTTTTAGACTTAGCATTGCCTTTCCTAAACAGTGGGAATGCATTCTATCTGGGCTTCAATTAGTGTAGTTTAAAATAACTTCCACGAATCCTCTAGGGATCTGACTCTCTTGTGTTTCTCGTTCAGATTCCTTTTAACTAGTCCCCTCATTTTGTAAAGTTCCCTCTTTTGAAATCAAATGTGACTGAGGAATTTCAGACAGGCGATACATTCCAGTTCAGGAACGGTTCCCAAATGGTTTCTGGTCTGACATTTCAGACAGAACCGTTTTAGAACCGGTTCCCTACCGGAATATATTTGTACTTTCACACACAAACGCTTCTGTCCCGTTCAGGAAACAGTGCTGTCCTGTTCAGGAAACGGGGCTGAACCATTTTACCTGTAAACCACTTCCAAGTAGCCTTCAGTTTCTTCTCCCGGATCTGAAATGTTTTTCCCCGCTGTTTTTCGCCCATGTGGGTGATCTCCGGCTTTTTTTTTTTGAACGTTGGATTTAGAGTGCTATAGCGCTATAACACAACAGCAAAACAGCATTATAGCAACCCCATTGGAATGCCTGGAGTGTTGTGTTTTAGTGCTATAGCGCTCTAAAGCGAACATTTTTTTAAAAAAAAAAAGCCGGAGATCGCCTGCACGGGCAATAAACGGCAGGAAAAAGCGGGAGAAAGCAGTGCGGTCTGAAATGGCAAACTGCTTCAGATACAGCTGTTTACTGGTAGGGGAAAGCCCTGTGTGAAATGGCAGCCCTATTTACTCCACGACGGATCAAAACCGGCTTAAAAGGGGTAATGTGAAATTCCTCAGTTTTGGACTTCAGGGGTAGCTTTCCATTGACCTGAATGCTGAATTTAATAGCTTTGTGGTTACTGTTCCCAATTGGTTTAACAATCTCTACATCCCACTCCAGGTCTTGAGACCTGTTCAGAACCAAATCCAAGATAACTACCCCTCAGGTTGGCTCTGTGACCAACTGTTCCAGTGCACAGACATTTATGATGTCTAGGGATTTCATTTCTACAGCATTACTTGAGCACATGCTTACCCATGTTTATACATGTTTACCCATTCAGTTTGAGGGTACTTGAAGTCTGCCAGTATCATTACATTACCTGCTTTAGTCACATCTCTTACTTCCTTTTCCATCTGAAGACCAGCCTCAAGGGTTTGATTAGGTGGTGGGCTATAGTACACCCCCACTTTTAAGTAACCCTTAGGCCCCAATATTTCCACCCATATCATTTCCATTGGGGAGTTAATTTCCCTGATGTCTTCTAGTCATATATATAGGCAGCATTCTAAGAAATTGAAGTTCATTCTTGCTTCACGTATACCCATCTAGCTGTCTTTCTGTTACTTGTGCTCTAAAAGTGTATGAGTTGTACAATACACAATAAATTGTGTGGCACAAGTAAATTGCATAGCAGGAAGTAATGGAGAAAACATGGAACAAACCACAAACTGAATGGGGAGGTTTGTTCACCTGTTGAAAGAAACTGCATTGCCTTTAAACAGGGATTGCAGAAAGCCCAAAAAACAGCTGAGCAATGGGAAGCAGTCTGCTCCCCACCACTCAGCTGTTTCAGGCTATCTTGTACAGTCCCTTTAAACTTTAAAGAAACTGCAGAAGACAGCCTGAAAAACAGCTGAGCAGTGGGGAGGCACTCCCAGTCACTCAGTTGTTTTGGGCTGTCTTGTGCAATGCCTTTAAACTTTAAAGGGACTGCAGAAGACAGCCCGAAAAGCAGCTGAGCAGAGGGGAGTACCTCCCTGCTGCTCAGCTATTCTTGCGGCCTTCATGGGGAACAGAAAGCAGGAGTTTGAAGGGACGGTAGACCTGTCACAAACTTTGGTTCACAAACCATGAACAGGATAAAATTAGTGACAAAGTTTGCTTCATGGTTCAGTTTGTACCGATCAGTAGTGAGCCTGAATCTAGTTGAACTAAATCTGTATTTGGAGACATGAGACACTGAAAGAGTTTGGTTGGCTGGAGAAAAAACTGAGATATAGCAGGCATGAGAGAGAACAAAATACAGAAAGTTCGTACTACTTGAATGGAAAATTATTTGTAGATTCCAGATAGGTTCTCTAAAGTTCCTTAAATAGACCTAGCCACCATGGCTTATTTCCTCACTTGCCACTTAGGCTAATAACTTGCACGAAACATAATCTTTCTAACTTGCCACTTAGACTAATGACTTCCACGCAGGTTTATTTTCCTCACTTGCCACTTAGGCTCATAACTTCCACACAGACTTATTTTCCTCACTCAGTCCCTTCACACACTTTACTAATTTTCTCCCTCTCTCTGCAATCCAATCAACTCTGCCCCCCATGATACAGCTACCATCTAATCATAGCACACTTTAGTCACCCATCCAGCCCCCCTCCCAGCCAGATGTGGTGTAGTGGTTAAGAGCAGCAGACTCTAATCTGGAGAACTGGGCTTGATTTCCTGCTCCTCCACATGCAGCCAGCTGGGTAACCTTGTGTCAGTCGCAGCTCTCTCCGAACTCTCTCAGCCCCATCTACCTCACAGGGGGTCTGTTGTGGGGAGAGGAAGAGAAGGCAATTGTAAGCCGCTCCGAGACTCCTTGCGTAGTGAAGAGCAGGGTATAAAACCAACTCTTCTTCTTCTTTCTTACTCACAGGCCTGCATTTTAAATTACAACAACATGCATGTAAATTGTCATATTAAAACCTAGAAATAAAACACATACACAATATTTATGTAGTGAAAACATCACACTACTGTTTATGTCTGAGCAATGGATGTGTGCTGAAATTCCGTTATTTGTAGAAAATTGTACATGATCAAATATGGCACAGAGCCAGAAAAGTTAGCAATGCAAAACAGGCAGCTTTTTACTTCGTATACTATCTGTTGATGCAGAAGTACAGAAAATTATGAGTTTTTAAACCAATAGATATTAGGCATCAACTAATCCTTTTTTCATTTTTTGGGTAAATGATTGCATACTTGTAATACACAGTTTTGATTGACCCACATATGTCGACATACACCTGCATAAAGCATTGGTTTTCTTTCCTTTAGATTATGTGTTTTGTAAATTATTTTCCCACAATTCTGGCTATAATGAAAAAGTATATGAGAAAAGCCTTTAATCAATTCAAGAAGCGGAATGGTTGCTGCTTATTAAAATTCACTGTAACTGATTTATGGTTGATTATGGTATGATTATAGACCTGCAAACTTTAATTTATAATGCAAGTTCTAATTTTAGGGTAAAACGGGAGATTCTGGACCTCAGGGACCATCAGGCCCTCCAGGACCAGAGGTAAGAAACTATTTACAAAAATGAATCCTATTTGGCATTGGATGCAGCAGAAATACACCAAGTCCTGTTATGTTTGAAAGATGTCTAGCTTGAAACGGATCCGGAATTCGATAGGCAGCCAGTAGAGCACTGAGGTCCACCAATCAACATCTTTTGGTGGTTCCCAGCCCCAGGGATGTCCGACTTGCCTTGACCAGGGCCTGGTGGAATGAGCTCCTGTGTGAGATCAGGGCCCTGTGGGATTTATTACAATTCTGCAGGGCCTGCAACACGGAGCACTTTCACCGAGCTTTTGGTTGAGGCAGTGGACGTTCCCCCCCCCTTGGGCCCCCTCCATCTGTAGCCTGGGTCTATCTGTAGTTTGGGTCCTTGGGATCCTAAATTTAAAGATCTTTATAACAAAACCTGATTTTATTTTAACATCATCAACCACTGAAGCATCTGACTTGTATTAGAGTGGTATGGTACTTATGACTTATGTGTTGTTATGTCATGTCATTTTATATTGTGTTTTAAAATGGTTTTAACTGTATTGCACTTTTACTGTTGGAACCCACGCTGAGCCTGTCAAGGGGAGGGCGGAATACAAATCCAATAAAATAAATAAATAAATGTAATAGCTTAATTAGTTGAGCTGCGAAGTTGCTTTTTTATTTTGCTTAAAATTAGATTTTGCTTATGCCAAACGTACTGTCTGGTTTGCTATATTGCAAAAATTTCTCCAGAATTAAAATACAAGACCTGCATTTCCCATCAGCAGTTCATAGCAATAAATACAAATGGGCTACTTATAGGATGTATATATTTTAAGACCAAGACCAAAAAAAAAAATCTGAACTTCTGTAGATGTAGATTTTATTGTATTGACCATAGGTCTTAATAATATAACAGTATTAAAACAAATTAACAGAATTCACAGTAGTACAAGGATACTACCGATCAGAACCCATATAAAATCAATAGATTATAACTAATACCACTTGATCTAATTCTTCTTGCAACTAGTGCAAACAGAACAACTCTATTAGAGACATAAGCATCCTCATCTGCAAGCAAAACTATTACATTTTCCCAGATCCGAGGGTCTTTCCCACATGGATAGGATATTAGCACTAAATTTGTTTTGGTGCTCATTATGGAGGGGGCATTTCAAAATATAATTAATCAAATCATCTATTTCTCCTAAACCATACAAAAGGCATTGTAATGGGGCAAGCACGTTTAGAAAACGTCCCAAACGAACCACTGAGGGCATAGCTTGGAATGTTAGACTAGTAAAAGCCATCCTCAGTTTCATTGTTGTTAAAGTCCTTAAATATGAGGTCCTGACATGATCTCTTTTCAGGAATTTAAATAGGGGGACCGCTATGGATCGATCAGTTACACGACTGTCAATTTTCCCATCCATTTTGAAAATCCATTCCTTCAGCTTCTGGCCTGATCTTTTGGCACTTAATAGATCATTCAGAATTTTATACTTTGACTGAATGAAACCCAAATAGTCATTGTAGCTCTTAGCATGTTTTAAAAGAAGACGGAGACTTTGGGAGCCCAATGAATCCTGAGAGCTATTGAGATTCTTTATCCAAAAAGACAAAACTCTGAAATTAGCTCTAGCTTTCAGAGAGGGAATACCTAGCTCGGCCCTCATTAATGCTACCTGGGAACCCCACAAGAATCCGTCTCATAAAATAATTTTGTATTTTTTCCAGAGTTTTCAACATCTGCTCTCCCCAACCCCATATTTCAGTAAAATAAAGTATACTAGGGATAACCTTACTATCAAACTTTTGTGTGCCCAAGGGGTCTCTGGGTTTATGTTTCTCATACCGTAGACCCATGGGGATGGTATGATGCATGACAAACTGTATTTTTAACTGTAGATTAAAAAAAAACCATTTTATAATACAGCATTAGGTGGAAAGGATGTCTGCTATTCAAAGAAAAAAACCACACTAGACATATCCAGGTCTTGGGCATGCTTCTCTAGTTGTTTAAATCCCATCCTAAGGATTTTATTATTTGCAATTACAAAGAGTTTCATGAGATACTAAGTGCAATGTTTTATGTTATTTATTGGTGAGCTATATGATTGGGGTCACTGTCTGGATAACTGCATGGAAAAGGATTCTTTGCACACTAGAAGAGGAGTGACACCTTCAAGACTAACACACCTGTATTTTAAACTTTTGTAGGCTACATCCCATTTCCTCAGATACATGATAAGTTTATGCTGGAATAATATGCTGCTACAAGACCCTTGTTTGTTTTTGCTGTATCAGACTTACATAGCTACTCCTCTGGAGCTTGTATATGGCAGCCTCAGGACTCCCAGCATTTGTTTTCTTTAAAAACACGTGGAAACCTTTGATTCCTTTTGGGAGCACATTCTTACCATCCCATTTTCCTGATCTGAGGAGCTGCTGTTTGCCCTGTTGTGGCAAGCATTTATTTATTCAAACTATTTATATCCCACCTTACCTACAAAGCACCTTATCTTACGAAGCAACTAAGAGAATGATACCAGGTTGCAGAAACACAAAATGCCAAAGTCCAATTAACAAGATTTTTTAAAACACTGATTAAACACACAAAATTTAAAAATACAGATTGCAAATCTAAAAGGACATTGAATTTAAAAATCACACATACTTAAAAATCATACAAAATTTAAAAGAATGCAGCCAAATCTGCCACCGCAGTTTACCATCCATCAAATCTTCTCTGGCATAAAACTGTTCTGCACAGTTTCCTAAGAGTTATGAGTGAAGGGGCCCCCCACACCAGCTCTGGTAGGCTGTTCCAAAGGATTGGTCCCACCATGGAAAAAGTCTGTGACCTGAGGGAGAGCATTGTAAGGAGAGAGCTTTCTGAATGTAGTGGGGAAGATTCAATTCAATAAGTATGAGGACCATAGGCCATGAAGGACTTCAAAAGTAACCATAACTTTAAATTTGACCTAGAAGCAAATAGGTAACCAGTGCTGTTGATACAGCACTGGAAGTATGTATTCTAAGCAGTGCTGTTGATATAGCACTGGAAGTATGTATTCTAAGCAGCAGACCATCAGACAGAGGTCTTGCTGCCTCATTTTCTACCAGTTGAAATTTCCAAGACATTGTAAAAGGCAGCCTCATGTGAAATATGTTACATTCTGGAAGTTACGGTAGCGTAGATCAACATATAGGTACTGTACCAGTATGTTTCCCCCTGTCCAAATTTTGACTCCCTGAGGCTGTTCAAATTATAAAAAGGGTGCTAGGGGAGAGCTAAAATCATCCATTCGTCTTCATGGCTTCTGTGCAGTCCCACATGGGACTGCGCACATGCAGGCCTACCATTGAGAGAAATTACCAAGATTTCTAGAGCTTTCTAAAGCTGTAGAGAGTGCTCCCACCCTCTCATCCAGAGCCAGGTTTTCAAGGTACTGGCTCCACCTCCAGCTTAGGTTCTTCTCACTTAAATGTGTCGGGACCATCAGTGCCAGAACCATTCTCTCAGCTTGCATGGTGGGGAACCCTTCAAGCCCCTTGGTTCCCATGGTAACCTCCCACCTGGGGTCAATGTGACCAGCATCCTTCATGGCCTCTCCCGTTTCAGTGGGGCATGCCTCCAGGACTGCCTCTTTCCAAGAGACATCCATCCACTCCACCTCTGACAAGTGCTAATCACCCAGCATCTCCCTTTGAACGATTCAGCTCTGAGGAACCAGCATTACTTGGATCCGATGTCAACTCTGAAGCCCCCTCCGTTCCTATACCTGAGGATGCTGTGGGGTCACACTACCTAGTTTCTCCTACAAAAGATCTTTGATTGTATTGTGAACAACTCCTGACTGTTAAATGCAGTGAATGAAAATAAAGGCCTGGATCTTGATGTGGCTCCTATGGATCCAAAACCCTTGGATCCTATCCTGAAGGTTTGATTTTGTGAGAACGTGGGACCTATTGCCTTCCCAATGCTTCAGGGTCTTCTTGATATGGCAATTGGGATCTGGTCGAAACCAGTGTCCATCCCTGCTGTGGCCAAGAAGCCAGAAAACTTCTAGGAGTGTTCCTGACACAATATCCCTCATCCAACTTGCAGGTGATGGAGGTCCTCCCAAACAAGCAAAGGCCAGGGGCCCGTGCATCACCCTTCAGCAAAGAAGGGCATAAATTAGATTCCCTGAGGAGGAGAATATACACCTCTGGCATGATGGGCATATGAGGGGCCAATTTTACAGCCATCATGGGCAGGTACCAGATGCTCCTCTGGGAGTGGATGGGGCAGTATCTGTATCTCCTCCCTGAAGACAAGAGCCTTCAGTCCTCCAGACTAAAATGTGGGAAACAGCAATTAAACACTTCCTGACACTCTTTTGATTGCTGTGTCAGGGCTGTGACCTCTAGAATAGTTCTACAGCGACACTCCTGGTTTCGTTCCTCACCTCTGCCAGTGGACACTACAGTGGAGGATATGTCCTTTGAAGGGAAGGAGCTGTTTAACAGGCAAAGATATTCCACTTTGAAAAGGAAGTGAAAGAACAAACTGACTGCTAGATCTCTAGGTCTAATGGCAGCCCCTTTCTCTCTCTCTCTTTTTTAAAATCCCCAGAGGGATTTTTTTTTTATTTTGCAAATGCTACAAAAACTACAAAGAAATATTAGGGAAGGGACTACAAGTAAGGATAAAGGAAAGCAAACCACACTAAACTAAAACCCAAGAGGAGGAGATCTTTTCACTGTTAGTAAAAATGTTAGTACCCCTTTCTCCTCAGGGAAACCAAGGTACTTCCCAAAACACTCCCTGCAGTATTCCAGATCCTATTGGTATCAACTTCCACAACAGCAATTTCAGTCTTGCCATCCATCCTATGCTCAGCAACAACACAGCAGGAAGCAGCACAGGAAACAAAAACGGAAAGCCAGGTCTAGCCCAACCCAAGGGATCAACCCAGTAGGGGAAAATCCTTTGCATGACGGACTCCACTGTTCAGCAATCATTTATGTGAATTTGTT